GTTTATTGAGTTACATTTACAAATTAGTTTTGTTACCCTATAAAATGGTTATATGGAGTTTTAGCGGTTGCCAGTCTGTAGCACTGTTTTTTGGGGGTCACATGTTGAACAGTTTGGGACTGGGTACAAGATTGGTGCAATAAATACATCTCTGATTGTATTCAGCTATGAGGAGATTGCTGATAGAAACATGCAGGATTTTGACATTTTGGATTGACATTTTCTTACAGTAGATGCTTGCATAAAGACTTCGTACGCCTCTCTGTCATCGGCCACCACCTCCTCTGATAGACGAGCAGACGAGGGACAGCTGTTGTCTGGCTTGTTTTTCTTTAATGTAAACCTTAAAAAAAATCACATCACTGCCTTGAGTTTCATTTTCATTGCTCACACAGAAAGACACAAGCAAGGCAATATGACCAAAAACATTTGTAATCATCTGGAGGATTATAGCATCTGCAGTTGATTGTGAGATGAAGCTGTTTGTGTCCTGGAAAGGTACCTTTGTTTTAGCTTGGAGGGCTTCTCCTGGGCGTAATCTTTGTGGTTATTAAATTCATCTCTGTCGGGTCCACTGGGACCATTGGGACCATGAGACTTCAGCAGGACTTCAAAGTCTGACACAGACTCAAAATCGTCCAGCTCCTGTAGGGAGAGAGGGGCAGAATAACGTATCAGAGGACTATAACTATTTGACTCAAATCTGCATTGAATTGGATGCATATTTGTGAGCGACATGAACACATGGAAAGAAATTATTATCCAGCAATTCACTTTAATACAAAATAACAAACCTTGCTGAATAAAATAATTATATTAAACATAAGCCTTTCCTGCTTCACTTCAAACTGTAAAAATGAATATAAAACAAAAAATAAATAGTGCACATTTTTGGTGAAACAGTAAACTTGTAAAAACTTGTAAACATATTTGTGCCCTAAATGCAATGACTGTACCGCTCTGCTGTCTCCCGCTATCTTCTCGGTGAGCAACACTTTGCTCGACTAATGGGAAGACGGGATTCTGGATTGTTCCATATATGCTGTCAGCTCATTGGTCAAAACGCAGGACAGGGAAGTTTATCGTAGGTTTTATATCTAACGTGCCCTTGTTCTTCATTTTCCATTAGCTTTTTACTGACTATTTCTTTACTCTCACAGTAATACGGCAAAGTGCGCTCCTTTTCCACTAAATACGGGACAGGTGCTTCTATTTCTAAATGCGGAACGATTAAGTTTTTAAAGAGACGGTTGGCAACCCTATGAGGAACCGTGATAGGTTGATGTGGAAATGTTCTTAAGAACCAATCTCTGCACAGTTAACTGATCCAAGCCCGGTCTGGATTGGTTTCAGAGGACTAGTGGCGATGGAGCAAATAACAGCTTGCAGATGAGTACCTGAATAGTGGGAAGGGGTGGTAATAGCAAAGTGAACTAATGTTAGCACCTTCCTGATGTTAATACAGAAAGAGTGTGGCCCAGGCGGGATTTGATCCTCAGACTCCCAGGTGACAGTGATGCACGCTGACCGCGTGTGACTGGACCCCCACACCGCCATGACAGGATCAAAATTGCAGCTTGTAAAGAATGTATTCTTTATAGGCTGGTTAGATTTGAACAAAAACATAATAAACTAACAAGCCACGTTCTCTCTGTTGATTTTTCTGTCAGGCTTTAATTGAAGCTCAGCACCAACGAAGACTTTTTGACATCATATTTCCAGATGATGACTCCTTTAAGATGGAAATTAGTAAATATCAAGCTTAAAGAATACAATTCATGTTGATAAACATTTTAGAATTTTAATGTATTCATTTCACACCAAGTTGCCGTAATGAACATGTTTTTAGTGTTATTCAACTTGATGTGAATTGCACAGATGTTACAACGATAAGTGCAGTGCTTCGAAGGAGCCTTTATATAGAAAAAAGTGCACTTTGTTAACATGAAGCCTCTATTCAGGAACACTGCTGGGGGAGGTATTGGAGCAAGGTATGCAAAGGTACCAAAATTAACAGCTTTTGTTACCAACCAGCAGGCAGGGTGACTCTAAGCAAATGTTGAAGCCATTATTTATTTACATGTTCATGTCTTCTTTAATTCCTGTTCCATTTCCACAAGTTTGACATAATTGGAAAACTTAGACGCCTCTCTTTCAGGAACTGATAATGACTCAAAACGGCTCATGGATTTACTACCGCCTGTCACAATTAGACATACTGTCTATCGACTAGACGTTGGACGTGTAGTCCTGTTTCTCTGACTGTGACTAACTG